GGCAAAACTATAGAAATCAGTGTCGTGATGGCCTGGGGTTAGAGGTGGGAGTGGAATTGACCACAAACGGGCACGAGGACACTTTTGTGGTGGTTGGGAGTGTTTTAAAATTGGGTAGTGGTGATGGTTTCTCAACAGTTTTCATTCATTAAAACTTACGAAACTATACACTGAGAAATGGATGAATTTCATGGTACGTAAATTATTCCTCAATTTAGAAACAAAGGAAGTAGATAACATCTTACAGATAAGTTTTTTTTTTTTTATATTTGCTTTCATTTTGAGACCTGTGTTCCTCCAAGTGTGCTTACTGATCTATGCAGTGGTGCTAATTGTCATCAGTAACTGGGAAGAAGGAATGTTTTTAACTCTCCGGAATATTTGAGACAAAGAAGCAATTACAACTTAGGGAAATTCCACGTGGCTAAAGAAACTCCTGTTTCTAGGGTGGGGGATTGGAAACTTTAAGGGGGTTGGAGTTGGCTACTTGAAGTTTAAACTTTCTTCCTGGGCTTTTTAGGTCAAACCCTTATATGAACAGCTTCACGCCTATGTGAGGACAAAGCTGATGAATGCCTACCCTTCCCGTGTCAGTCCCACGGGCTGCCTCCCTGCTCATTTGCTTGGTAAGAAAACCCAGCAATTCTTTGTGTACTTGGCTGTTATTTCCAGCAATAAAACTGCCCTTTGGCGCGAGGCCCAACCTAAAACTGGAAAAAAGTCTGTGAAGGAAATTAGGAACATTACAGAAATCACATTTTGAAAGCATTTCTTCAACAGGAAGTTACTTTTAAAGAATTCTCTATTACATTACCTTTTGAATACATAAAGAATTATGTTGGCTTCAATTCAAAGGATAAAGGAGTTGGGACAACTAGAGAAAGGATTCTAGCTTTAAAGGAGAGTGGAAATGGGGAAAATAATTTTATGTATTCAAGTCAGCTGGCTCAGCTTTGCAGGTGGAATTTAGGATTTGAGCGTCATATTGTCAGAGGAAAGAAGTGTGGTAGGGGTGAGAGAAAGCCTTGCTAAAATTAAGGTACAGCCTTGGCGAAAGCTTCAAAAGTTCATTCATTCTAGACTGTACCAATTACCCTTGCTAAAAAGTACGTGGTTTGCAATCATCCAAGTAATGCATGAAGGAGCGTGGCCATTCCTCAAGCCAAATAAAATTTGAAAATCTCATGCCACGTATACACAGAAGATCTACATAGCTGATTGCTGGTAGCTACTCCTTCTCCATAGTCAAACCTCACGTCTATCATCAGGAAAGAATATGGACAAAGGACCTGTGGAGACTTTTAACCC